TTCTAAGCTCAAATTTTTAATAACTGACATTCATTGCCACATAACTCATATTTGCCATAATTAAGCCAAATTGTTACCAATTATGCACAACATTATTTTAATTAGAAATAAACCCGCGTAGTCAACCAACAAGCAATAACATTTGACATTTCGGAGACCTCACGCTACACTAGCGCCTCTAGCGGCGGATTCATATGCGATAGCCCTCATAGCGCAGCATCCCGCTTCAGCCTTGAAGTTTTTCCTGGAGTTCATTTCCATCGCTTTGAATTAGTTCGGATCGGGATTGACGACTTTAATGGATTATGAAAAAAATATCAAATACTTTTTTGCCAGTGTAAAGACAACACTATTGGTGATAAGGTTCCAGGACTCCACGGGGTCTGTAGGCTATGTCGGCCGCTTACCATCTGGGGCCATTCGCCTAACGGAAATGCTTTAGAAAACGCTAACGCTTTCGATTTTATTTTGTTATTTCTAGCCGCCTGAGATTTTCAAATGACTCGCGCTCTTTTTTTTCTTTTGCATTGTTAATAACAATATTAAAAAAAATGAGCGTGAGAGTATTTGAAAGCCTTCGGCGATCAAAAATATTAAAATTAAATCGAAAGCGTCGGCGTTTTCCAAAGCATTTCCGTTAGGCGAATGGCCCCCTGACATGATTAGCTATTAGCGATATTGGCCTTGCATAGCACGCATGAGGCATGACCTAATATTTAGTTTTCATGTTTTTTTTATTATGTTTATGTTTTATTTTATATACCATTTTGTTTTTTTTTTTAATTTCCCCCAGGTGGGCCATAAGCTAGTTTGCCACCGTTTCAACATAAAAAAAATAACTATTTCTGGATATTGAAGATAAGAATAAACAATAAATTGTATGGTTTTATAAGTTGACCAGCTGATGCTTTTATTAACGGGCCCCAGCTTCTTAAACCCAACCTAAAAAAATAGGTAGGTATTAATAGTACAATATTAACTAATACGTTGTGTGGTGTGCTGCAATTAATATAATTTTGTCGAGAAAATTTATTATACAAAAATCTGCTCGTCTCTGAAAATTACATTACTATTTATTTATTTATTTATCTTTAACAAAGTTTCTGCAGCGGTTTTTTGTGAAATTTAATACAATAAAATATAGATACAATCTTACGACCAATTACAGAAACTCATTATGTACACATTAGATACTAACAGCGTTATTATATGTCAATAATTATTACATTTAATTTAATTTAATTTGAAAAATTGTATAAAATCATATAATTCACTAACATAAATAATAAAATAAAATTGAGATTGGACAAAACATAAAGACAAAAAAAAAAGAAAAACAAACACTGAATATCCATATAAAAGGGTTTTCAAGAATTTGTCACAACATGATGATAACTTTATGAAGTGTGGGTGTGTGTGTGTGTGTATTAAATATTTCCTCTTTGTAGAATGTTTGATACTTGTAATAGTGTCTTAATATTATTTAGCAATCCAGTATTGCAGATCAGCTTCTGAGATTTGAATAGGAATATTCATAATAATTTTGAAGGTTAATGGTAAAAGATAGAATGAGTCATAGAATTGTGCGTTGTGCTCTTGTTCCTACCTGTTTGCACTGACTCAGCCGCCACCGGCAGGGGCTTTACAAGACGCTTGTTATTTGACGCGCGTCCGTCCGTCCGTCATTTGTCACAAACCGCACGCGAATAGGGAAACTCTGAAAACTAAGATTGCTGATATTGTTTTGAAATGTTTTAGAGATCCTTAGTGTACGAGTTAATTTGGAAAAATTTAGTAACATTGGAAACTTGAATCAAATCGTGCACTCATAGGATGAATACAGAACAACATACTACTTTTTTTTAGGCTCTCCTAGGTGCAACCTCTGGAGTTCCATAGGGATCGATCTTGGGACCTCTTTTGTTGCTCTTATTTATTAATGAAATAAAAAACTATTTCCCGAACTCCAGGTTCCTCATGTACCCAGATGATATGAAAATTTACAAACCCTGTAGGACCGTAGACGATTGTCAGATGCTGCAAGAAGACTTAGACAGACTTTCTTATTATTGTAGTAAAAATTAAATTCATTTAAATTTCGATAAGTGCAATTCGATTATCTTCACCAAAAAGAAAAATAAGCGTTTTTAACTATACATATAAAATTAACGGTGTTATCATAAATAAAATAAGTAATATTCGCGATCTAGGGATGCTGATTGACAGTAAACTGCATTTTGACGAGCATATCAACAACATCGTAAACAAAGACTACCGTATGTATGGTTTTGTCATGAGGTCATCCACGCACTTCATGCGTTCTTCTACTTTTTTTACTCTTTACATGACCTTAATTCGCTCTCAACTCGAGTTCGCAGTTCCAATTTGCTGTCCGCTGATGTGTGGACAGACTTGAAAAGGTTCAAAAGAAGTTTTTACGTAGAATACATTACAAGTTACATATTGTAGAATTTCTTATGCAGAATTGTTGACTCATTACAGACTTTTGAACTTGGAATCCAGACGTTCCCTACTCATGGCCATGATGTTACATGGCATTTGTAATAACAGGTTCGATTGTAATAACCTTACATATTACTTGTGTTATGTTGTACCTAGATCGGTATTCCGCGGAGGGGTGCGCGCACCTCGGCTGTTTTACACTGGGACGTATAGAATGAATGCGGGGGTGCGAAATGAAATGAAAAGTCATTTATTCAGTCTAGGCTGTTACAAGCACTTGTGAATGTCAAGAAGCTACGTCATCGGTTCGCAAAACTACGGCGGGAGACCTTGTACTGAGAAGAACCGGCAAGAAACTCAGCAAGGGCTGTTTTTTTCTCCCTGTATTCTTAAATACAGAGTCGTCAAGTTGAAAAATGACTTCAGAGATACGTCTGAAGTCACCTTCCATTACATCATTTAAAATATAAATATATAGTTACAATAAATAATAATGCGAATTATATCACAAACTTTGCCGAATTAGACATATTTGGTTTCTCAACATTAAAATTTAAAAAAATGGCAGTAGAAACATTATCTAATGTACGTACGAACGTGTTGATGTAATTTGGTATCATACTTGTATCTGTACCGATTCATCGCGATTTCTTATTATTCAGTAGAGAGAACATAATTTTACTTCTCCTTTCATCATTAATTTGTGGACATTGGTGTGGGTTGTACACTTACATAATTAGTATCTAAATTATAAATGTTAGTAATATTTAGTGTATAACTGTTCTATGTTCCAATTTGGTAAAATTAAAACATGTAAAACAGTATATATACTTTATATATCCATTCACAGAATCATAATTAAAATGAGATTGTCTATTGCCATCCAGCGTGGCATTGTTGCAAGCATAATGGGCACCTTTGCGCCAGGAACGGCACAGAATATTATTTGACGATTTTTAAATTAATTGAATTGTATTTAATTCAATAAATATGTATTTACGTTAAAACTATTAAACAAACATATAATTAGTGAAAAATATTTTTAATTTCGATATTTATTGATTAAATAATAGCAAAAATTAAATATAACAAAAACTTAAAAAACTACTTAGTGTCCAAAATTTACAATCCAAATTACTATTATATGTAAATTTTGTAAAAACATTATTTTGCTCTGGCAACAAGGTCTCTAAAATATTATCGCAAACTATTTTTAAAGTTCCGTACCTCAAAAGGAAAAAAACGAAACCCTTACATTATATTACAAAACAAGATACAAAAAAATGAAAATTATACTTAATTAAATGAGTAAAGATAAATAAATAGAGTAAAGTGGTCAAGGCCCTGCCTCAGCATAATGCTGCCGCCACACGCCAAAAAACGTGTCACAGCAATGCTGGTATTCTGGCAGGGCATGTTATGCCGTTAGTAATTAAAATTAAATAAATATTTAAGCCCCAAAAGAATATTTGCCCTTTTTTGCTCGATAACTATTACGAAAAAGTATCTAATGTTGTATAGATAATGATACGGAACCCTTCGTATTTCGGTCAGTTTTTTTTTGAATATGAACCAATCGCTGCTTCCATTTTGTAATTAGGAAATTCACCAGTTCGCAAACTTTGCCTAATTATTATAGCATAGACGTTTAATCTTTAAGCATTTGTAAAGTTTATCAACCCTCGACTCTATTCTAGAACAATGAACCTAAACTCTCGACTTATATAGCAAATATAATACAATTCCGATACAACAGTTTGATAAAGTCCTACACTCTTGGCCGTACGCAAGAGACGCAATTAATTTATTAAATATTAAAGACAATGTTGTTATTTTCTGTGCGATATCATTAGAAAAAACAAATCGTATTCCGCATTTAATGTGTTGCTACAAAAAAATAATCATGCCAACCAAGGCAGGGAAATAAATGGTAGGGCAAAAATTCGAAAAATGTACACAAGACGTCAACTTTACACATAGACCGTTAAAGTTTGAAGATGAGTGTGCCTTCCCTAACATTTTTACGATTATCGAGGGCAGTAACCACAGTCTATACACTGTGCAGTAACTAAAAATTTTCAATTAAATGTGATTAGAAATTTTCAAAGAATTAACTAAAAAAATATTAAATAACAGAAAAAAAAATACTTTAAAACTTTTCCCTGTAGTCCGCTGTCGTGACAGATCGAGGCGTGGCGTCGTGGAAGGCTTCCATGCATAATATTTATAAACAAAATGTCAATTCTGCCGAAATCTGCAGATGGTTGACGTCAAAGAGACCGAGCGAGATGCAAATATTGTGAATGGATATTCACAATATAGAAAGCTTACGCACTCAAAGGGTTTCCCGGCGCACTCACCACGTAATTGAAAAACAAGTGACGCAAATTCGATGTGTCGATCCATTGCTTACTTCGAATTGGGGATATTGAAAAATACTAATGGTCGATCGGCTGTGGAGTCTAAACTAGTTTTTTAATCAAACTACACTTGGGTATTCTTATTAAAGTAACAGCGAACGGAAACAAGTATTTCATGGAGGTTTGAGTTCGCGCTCGCTTAGTAGAGCGGTGTTACGCGGACCGCACGCACGTCAAATCGCGACACTAAAAAGAACCCAATTACAAGTTTTAAAATAGTGCGGGAGACGCGCGCGGGAAAACCGCTTACGATACATACATAAAGTTTTTACGATTATTTATTTTTTAGTGTTTTTTTTTTAATTAATAATATTATCATTGATATTATAACAATTAGTAGTGATGAAGGGGCAAGCTAAAAGATTTGTGGACCACACGGGCAAAGCATTCAAGATGAGAACCAGTAAAAAGGAGCCGAGTGATAATATAGGATTTTTAGATCTGGTAAGTCTAGTCAAATAAAATACTTTATTTACTTTAAAATAAGTAACAGGTGTTGTTTTTTTTATTTATACATTAAAAACTTAAGTATTTAAGTTTTACAGGATATAAACAGGACAATTAAATAAGAAATTATTAGAATATGCATAAAAATGTTTAAAAAGATCTCGTTTCACAGTTTATTAATGTTTTTCTTACAACATTATAATGCAATTAAATATTGATAATGTACACAAAATATTTAAACATCTCGAATACTTAAGTACGTGGTTACATAAATCTGTCTCGAATGATGTCTGCGTGTTCGGAATGCAATCTTTAAAGCTCTTTTTTTTCTAAGCCGAAATTTTTAATCTCATTGATTTTATAAGGAATCTTTTATATTAACTCATTAAATTTTCGTTGTTAAAGAAAAAACTTGCGGCAAATTTATTATATAGTTATTGCAAGCTTAGGAAATATTATAAAAACATTTCCTAAAAAAATATAAAACTTAACACTGTATTTTGAGAACTATATTTTTAAAACTTTAAAGGAGATGTTTGGTTTCAAAATTAGTTTGTTTTAAAACCACTATTATGTGTTTTTTTTTCTGGTAGAGAAGTCTATTATTGTTCCTCAAAAATAAAATAAACATAAAAAGCGCCATTTCATGAAATAAAACATATTTTAGACTCCATTTCTTTGTATTTTTAATTTAACATTTGCACTAAGCTAGAAGGCGAAATATTATTCAATATCATTTCTAAACGACTGAAGATTTTATTTTTTTTATTTTTATTTTCAAAATAATATTAATAATAAATAACTTATTATTAAAAATTACCAGAAATATAATAATAAAAGGGGGTTTAGATATAATTTAACAATACAAATATGTATATATTTTTAATTTTACAGAAATATAATTTATTTTCTATATTATGCTAGCCTCCATACAAAACTGTAACATTTACTTTGTGAAGATGTGTAAATTAGTTAATACTAATTTGTACAAGATGTATAGGAACTAATTTTCCTTAAAAATATTTAGTTTGATTCAAAATAATATTTTTTCTACAAACTTCTCATAAAAAACATTATAAGTGAGCATAATAAATGTCGTATGAATCATAATTTGCGGCTAGCACCATACCAACCAACCGCAAATAAATAAAATCGATCTTAGACGTTTAAATAAAAAAAGTGTTTCACATTCGAGTTTTCGAAGGCAGACGCAGGCGGTCGCGACGCGACAGGTTAAAGAACCTAAAAAGACGATTAAAAAAAGTCTGTCGCCTAAGTACTGACGATAACATATCGATGAATACACTCAAGTTATAAACATTGCGTTTTTACTGCGTAAAGGACATTGGGCAAAAATGTATGGACGCTGCACCCACGTCCGCCACGGCTTAAACTGCATTTGTTTGAAAGGTATTATAGTCGAAATCATCTGTGCCAAAGCGAATCAAATTCTATCCCGGGGGTCTTTAGTTATTTTAAGTTAAATATGTACAAGTACTATAACGAACGAACATTAATGAAACAAGGGAATTAATTTAGTTAGCTAGTTTGACCCAACCTACATAGTTTGCTCAGGAATTATGGGAGTTATGTTATTCTGCCGCGCTAAAGTAAATCCAAAAATCCCCGCTTGGGTTGGGTTTTTTTAAACATTCTGTTCGTTACAGTAAATTGTCTTCTATGTAAAACGGAGCGACCACAGATTACACAAACTCGTCCACGCTTCGTAGAACACTTGACTCCAGTTCATCCGTACTTGAACAAAACCGATAATCGTGTTCCAATATCCAAAGCGTGTTAGATAAGAAACAATCAAGTAGCAGGGAGCGCACAATCACAACGAAGTAAGACGAGACGACTATTTGCAACTGAAAGTCCTTCATCATCCGTAAACCGTTTTGAAATGTCTAAGTAAGAGCAAGCGCAGGTCGCATGGTCGGCAGGCTTTGTCGTATATCTGGTTGTACAGTACGATATGGCATATTATTATGATTACTAATAATATAAAATGAATTTATTCAGCTACTTAAATATGTCCATGTGGCATATCTATTGACTACCAGAATATTTTTTACGGTGTCATATCTTTTGACTCCCAGGATATTTATTTTCGGTGTCATAATAAGAAAGGCTATATAGTTTTTCATAGATCTATCGATTCATACTAATTACATTATTAGCGGAGCTGGGTGCGTTTTGCCCATTGTTCTTTAACTATAAAAAAAAGATAAATGATTTTTTGTAAACATACCTCTATACAAAATACGAAAAGTTTGAGGATTCCTAATACTTATAATAAATAGGTGAACAATTAATGTGTAATTTCACATTATATAATGAAAGGTGACTTCATGAATCATCTCCGAAGTCATTTGTGAACTTGACGACTCTATAAATAATAAAACAGGGAGAAAAAACAGCCCTTGCTGAGTTTCTTGCCGGTTCTTCTCAGTACAAGGTCTCCCGCCGTAGATTTACGAACCGATGGCGTAGCTTCTAGGCATTCATGAGTGCTTGTAACAGCCTATGAAATATTATTAATAAATGATTTTGATTACGATTATAGTCTATCGTTAAAATTAAAGGTTTGTGGTGTTGTCTTTCTGTCGGTGAGAAGATTCCAGAAGTCTTCAATCAGTGCGTCCTACCTGTGATGACATACGGAGCCGAGACGTGGACACTGACGGTACGGCTGGTCCACAGGTTCAAAGTCGCTCAGCGCGCTATGGAAAGGGCTATGCTCGGCGTTTCTCTGAAGGATCGCATCAGAAATGAGGTAATCCGACAGAGAACCAGAGTTATCGACATAGCCCACCGGATTAGTAAGCTGAAGTGGCAGTGGGCTGGCCATATTTGCCGAAGAACCGATAACCGTTGGGGTAGACGAGTTCTGGAGTGGAGACCGCGTCTAGGCAAACGTAGTGTAGGACGTCCTCAGGCACGGTGGAGTGACGATTTGCGCAAGGTGGCTGGCAGGAGCTGGATGCGAGTAGCCCAAGATCGATCTGAGTGGCGTGCAATTGGAGAGGCCTATGTCCAGCAGTGGACTAGGATAGGCTGTTGATGAGAAGATTCCAGGGCTCCACGTGGTAGGGAATTGTGTTGAAGCCGGCAAGGCGGGCTGACGCGGCACACTCTCTGCCGCATCATGTATCTTTGACGATCTCCGTGGCCGAGTGGTTTGCACACCGGGTTTCAAGGTGTTGCCTACTCGGGAGGTCCCGGGTTCGAATCCCGGTGGGGGTAGATGATTGTGTGATTAATACGAGCATTTCTAGTATCCCATAACGCAAGCCTGCAGTGCTTACTTCGGGCCATAAGCCGACGACCATAAGCCTAGCTTATGGTGTTGGAAATATTTATTAATTTATTTGGGACTGGATTCCACACACTTGATATTAGGTAGCGAGAAGCTCGTAGCGCAGGTGTAAGCGCGTTCGGTTGCGATTGTTGAAGCAATCTTTCGCAGTGGTCGGTCATTGGATGGGTGACCAAAAATTTGTTATCTCTCACTCCTCCGTGCTTCGCAAGGCACGTTAAGCCGTTGGTCCCGGCTGCATCTGCAGTCGTTAGCACCCACCAATCTGCACTGTGGGAGCGTGGTGAGTCACGGCTCGTTGTTGTCGTTATTCCATTCATAGGGAAGGCGTGTGCCCCACCAGTGGGTACATTAATAGGCCAATAATGACGATGTATCACGGAATATAACAATATGTCCTCAATTATTAGTAATTGATTTAAAATGTCATCGACACACTCGGCGGAATATTAATGATATGAAATATTAAGTTAATTGCCTAATGTTAATAATATTGGGCCAAGCATTAGTCGTCATGTTATTGTAGACTCGAACCAGATAAAATAAGAAATTATTTATGAAAATACGACGGTTCAGAATTGAATCGATCAAAATTTTATTGCACACCAAGAATAACGTCAAATTCTCTCTAAGGACTTTGCGATTGATGTGTATACATATACTAGCGCCCGGCCTCGCTTCGCTTCGGTGTAGAGCTGAAGTGTAAACTACAGTTTTTATTCTCAGGCTTGTATTATACACAATGACATTCATCTATGATTCTTCTTATACCTGCATGCAAAGTCTCAGTCCGATCGGTTTAAAATTGACTAAGTTTCATACTAACTTTCATTCCCTATTTTTTCCCCTAGGGGGTAGAATTGATCAAAATCCTTTTTTAGCGGATGCCTACGTCATAACATCTACCTGCATGCCAAATTTCAGCCCGATCCGTCCAGTGGTTTGGGCTGTGCGTTGATAGATCACTATGTCAGTCAGTCAGTCACCTTTGAGTTTTATATATATATAGATTTATTTGTTATGTTTTCACGCACCCCACTCATTTATTAAAACACTTTTCACTGAGCTTAAAATACGTTTTTTTAATACTTTTATACATACGAGTATATCTTCGTTTCGCATCCTTTATAGGCTGCGTTCTCGACAATTCCAAGCCCGCAAAACGCATTTTAAACACGTTGAAAAGTTATGTAGATGTATTTTTTTTATAATGAATATATTTTAATATAACAATCTAATTACATAATTACTATGGATGTAGAACAATAAAACTAAAACTACAAACCTTAAAAAATAAAATTAAAAACTAAAATATCGAGCCCTTACCGCCAAATTATCGTAAGCGACACTCGCCAAATTATCGTAAGCGACACTTTTGTCGAAATGCGTTTTTTGTGGAAACTAATATTTTAAACCGTAACGGACCCATCTCTGTTGATATTTCCCTCCAAAAGAACACCGTTATAATATAATAGAGGGAAATATCAACAGTGATGGGTCCGTTACGGTTTAAAATATTAGTTTCCACAAAAAACGCATTTCGACAAAAGTGTCGCTTACGATAATTTGGCGAGTGTCGCTTACGATAATTTGGCGGTACGGGCTCGATATATTATTAAAAGGAGTCCTTTTAGGCGATCCGAAGATACTGGCAGCGTTACCCCTTTGAATGGCTAGA